GAAATTTTTGCTCAAGGCGCTACCTCTTTGAGCCATAATGCTTCTTCCTGTTTTCTGGTGGTTAATTGGAGACAAGAGTTTCAAGAACTTTCCTGCCTGGACTGGCTTTGAACCTCAATCCTCAGACTTCAGTCTCCTGAGTAGCTAGGATTACAGGCATGAATCACCAGCACCTCTATTCTGTCTACTTTTTTTTTTTTTTTGGGTCCAGTCGTGGGGCCTGAACTCTGGGCCTGAGCTCTGTCCCTCAGCTCTTCAGCTCAAGGCTAGCGCTCTACCACTTGAGCCACAGCCCCAGTTCTGGCTTTTCTTTTCTGCTTATGTGGTGCTGAGGAATCGAACCCAGGGCCTCATGCATGCAAGGCAAGCGCTCTACCACTGAGCCACCTTCCCAGCCCCTGTCTACTTTTTTATACTGTGAGGTAGCTGAAGGGAAGGGCCCACAGATCCATGACTGATATAATGAGTGCTCATGAATTGCTTGATGAAATAAATTATTATTATAATATATAAGTAGTCATGGAAAGGTAGACACAGGTGTGTATAAGCATGCTTTTTTTTTTTTTTTGGTGCCAGTTCTGGGGCACCAAAACAGGACTGGGCCCAGTGCTGTCCTTGAGCATTTTTGCTCAAGGTTAGTGTACTATCATTTGAGCGTAAGTACCACTTTTGGCATTTTGATAGTTAATTGGAAATAAGAGTCTCACAACTTTCCTGCCCAAGCTAGCTTTGAATTGTGATCCTTAGATCTCAGCCTCTTCAGTAGCTAGGATTACAGACATGAGCCACTGCTGCCCAGCCTCCAAACTCATGCTAATAATAAAATCTCTCCTTGTTTCTATGTTTCCACTGCATAAATTTGTCCTATAGAAAGAGATCTCTGTGTTAAAAAACAAACAAACAAACAAACAAGTATACTGCTGTTATTATGATTCTCAAGGCTAAAGTTTTCTGGAATAGATCCTCTCAGTGTTCTACTAACTGCTGATTGCTTTGGCATACAATGTATTGTTAAAGAAAGCACAAGATTTAGCTGAGTACTGGGGGTTCACACTTGTAACCCTATTTACTCAAAAGGCTGAGATCTTAGGCTCATGGTTCAAAGCCAGCCCAGGCAGGAAGGTCTGTGAGACTTTTTTTTGGTCGTAGGGCTTGAACTCTGGACTTGGGCGCTGTCCCTCAGCTCTTCAGCTCAAGGCTAGTGCTCTACCACTTGAGCCATAGAGCCACTTCCAGTTCTCTGAGTGGTTTATTGGAGATAAGAGTCTCTCGGACTTTTCTGCCTGGGCTGGCTTTTAACTGTAATTCTCAGATCTCAGCCTCCTGAGTAGCTAGGATTATAGGCTTGAGCTACCAGTGCCCAGCTTCTGTGAGGCTTTTTTGTTGTTGGTGATGGGGGCTTGGGGGCTTGAACGCAGGGACTGGGCTTTGTCCTTGAGCTTCTGCACTCAAAGGTAATGCTCTAGAGCCAGGTGCCAGTGGCTCATGCCTGTAATTCCAGCTACTCAGGAAGCTTAGATCTAAGGATCACCATTCAAAGCCAGCCCAGGCAAGAAAGCCAGTGAGACTCTTATCTCCAATTAACCACCAGAAAACTGGAAGTGACACTGTGGCTCAAGTGATAGAGCTCTAGCCTTGAGCTGAAGAGCTGAGAGACAGTGCCCAGACCCAGAGTTCAAGCCCAACAACAGACAAAATAAATAAATAAATAAATAAAGGGGCTGGGAAGGTGGCTCAGTGGTAGAGGGCTTGCCTTGCATGCATGAGGCCCTGGGTTCGATTCCTCAGCACCACATAAGCAAAAACAGAAAAGCTGGAAGTGGCACTGTGGCTCAAGTGGTAGAGTGCTAGCCTTGAGCTGATGAGCTGAGGGACAGTGCCCAGGCCCAGAGTTCAGGCCCCACAACCGGAACCTCCCTCCCCCAAATAAATAAATGCTAAAGTTCTACTTCTTTAAGCCACAGTGTCACTTCCAGTTTTCTGGTGGTTAATTGGAGATAAGAGTCTCACTGGCTTTCTTGCCTGGGCTGGCTTTGAACAGTGATCCTTAGATCTCAGCCTCCAGAGTAGCTACGATTACAGGTGTGACCCACTAGCAATTGGCTTAGGAAAGTTTTCTCTGTTTTGGTTAGTACCTGAGTTTGAACTCAAGGCCTTGCATTTGTTCAGCTGGTACACTATAACTTAGGCCATGCCTCCAGCCCAGCTTTTTGATGGTTACTTTGGAGATGGAGGCTCACATACTTTCCTGCCCATGTTAGCTATGGACCTGGCAGGAGCCATCAGCACCTGGTTATGATATTAGCATTTATTGAGCCCCATTAGGTTTTCTATATCTGAGTAGAGATATACAAAAAATAGTACTGTGGCTCAAGAGGTAGAGCACTAGCCTTGAGCAAAAAGAAGCCTAGGGACAGTGTCTAGGCCCTGAGTTCAAGTCCGAGGACTGGAAAAAAAAAAGAAAGAAAAGAATAAGCACAGCAACCTCTATCCTCACATGAATCCAGGCTCTACCATTTACTAGGAGAGCCATCTTAAGACAGAGGCCAACCTGGGCACTGGTGGCTCACGCCTGTAATCTAGCTACTCAGGAGGCTGAGATCTGAGGATCATGATTCAAAGCCAGCCTGGGCAGAAAAGTCTGTGAGACTCTGATCTCCAATAAACCACTAGAAAACCAGAAGTGGCGCTGTGGCTCAAGAGGTAGAGTGCTTGCCTTGAGCTGAAGAGCGCAAGGACAGCTCCCAGGCCCAGAGGTTAAGCCCCACGACCAACCAAAAAAAAAAAAAAAAAAAAAGACAGAGGCCATCTACTTTTCTATGGTTGTGAGAATAAATGAGATAAAGGAATGTGAAAATACTGGGTAGGGTTTCCAGACTATAGTAAGTGCTCAATAAGTATTAGGTGAATTTGGTGGTCAAGAGAGTTACTTGGATAGGGACCTCAGTAACCTGTGGACCCATTAAACCAAAACTTTCTGGGACTAATTTTTATAAACATTTTTGGTGTTGGTCCTAGGGCTTGGACTCAGGGCCTGGTGCTGTCTCTGAGCCTTTTTGTAATTTATCACTTTGAACAGCACCTCTACTTCCAGCCTTTTGGCAATTAATTAGAGGTAAGAATTTCACAGCTGTCCTGTCCCAGCTGGCTTTGAACTTCAATCCTCAGATCTCAGCCCTCTGGAGTAGCTAGGATTACAGGGGTGAGCCACTAGCACCTGGCTCTAGAATTTATGTCTAGGGTGGGTTAGACATTTTCATTTCTAGTAAGTTCCCTGGTGATACTGATAATATTGATCTCAGAATCCACTGACTTCAATTATAAACTAAGGATAGGAGCAATCTGCCTTGTTAGTAAAGCATGTGCAAGGCCTGTTTCCAGCACAAAGTTCATTTTTATTAAAATTTGTTTTTCAAACCATTTGTGCCTCAAAATAACTATTAACTGTCAAGATATAAGAATAAAGCCTGGTATGGTGGCTCAAGCCTGTAATCTTAGCTACTTAGAAGGTGAAAAATAAGAGATAGTAGTTCAATGCCAACCCTATTGGAGAAACTCCATCTCAACCAATGGTAAATGCAATGGTGTACATTTGTCATTTTCAGCAACACTGGGAAGCCCAACTAGGAGGATCACAGCCCAGGCTTGACACTGCATAAAGCAAGACCCTACTCTGAAAATAACCAATGCAAAAGGGGTCTAATCCTTGGTACTCCCATAAGGGAAACATCATTTTTGTTCACTACTCTACTTGTAGAACCTAGAACATGAGTTAGTCTACCACAGGTGCTCTAAAACTAATGGGATAAATAATGTTAAAAGGATTAAAAACCCTGACATGAAGGTATAAACCTACAATCCTAGCACTTCTAGCACTTACAGGTGGAGGCAGGAAGACCACAAGTTCCAGTCCAGCTTGGTCTTCTGAGCTAGAGAACCTGTCTTATAAATATAAGGCGGGGGCGGGGGGAAGAGTATCACAAAGGATAGCTACAGATTATTAGTCTCCAAACAGGGTGATGATTGCTACAGGAATTGTAACTCTTCCATCAAACAAGGAGATATTTTATTTTTGGAAGAACTCTGCACCCAACTCTGCCGGTGTCTCCTAGCTACTCAGGAGGCTGGGATCTGAGGATCATGGTTCAAAGCCAGCGTGGGCAGGAAAGCCTGTGGGACTCTTTTTTTTTTTTTTTTTTGGGGGGGGGGGTCTGGTCGTGGGGCCTGAACTCTGGGCCTGGGCGCTGTCCCTCAGCTCTTCAGCTCAGGCACTCTATCACTTGAGCCACAGCACCACTTCCGACTTTTTTCCTTTTGCTTATGTGGTGCTGAGGAATTGAACCCAGGGCCTCAGGCATGCAAGGCAAGCGCTCTACCACTGAGCCACCTTCCCAGCCCATCAATGCGCCTCTCATCTCCAATTAACCACCAGGAAGCCGGAAGTGGCGCTGTAGCTCAAGTGGTAGAGCGCTTGCCTTGAGCTGAAGAGCTGAGGGACAGTGCCCAGGCCCAGAGTTCAAGCCCCGTGACCGACAAACAAAAAAACACAAGGGAGAAAAGCTACTCAAGCCAGTGAGCTGCAAAACCAGAACTCGAAGTAATCATGCACATAGATGAACAGCATTAGTCACTCTCTTTCACCTTGCAAAGGGCAAGGGTGAGATCAACCTACGGAAATCAATGGGGTCAAGGGTTATCCGGAAGTGTCTGCAAGACTCCAGATCAGAGGTCATTAGAACGTCACAACCTAGTCGAGGGAGGGATCTTGTCCAGCTCACTTGAAAAGGCCATAAAGTGACCAAGACATCTGAAAAAGACAAACAAAAACAAGCACAAATCTCGGCGGAGCCTCCCCAAAGAAATCCACGAACGGAGAGGAAATTTATGCACGCGCAGCATCCGGGTTCTCCCAATGTGTGCTTAATGCCGACGTGGCAGAAGGTGTGGCTAGTCCTGGAGCGTGGGGGCGGAACTTCCGGGGGCGACGCACGACAGCCCTCTCGGAACCGGAAGTGGAGCCTGGGAACCTTGACGTTAGGAACGAAATCGAACCTGGATCTGGAGCCGGGTGAGGAGTGGCATTCGGGAGCTCGGGAGGAGGGTCGGAATGCAGAGGCGAGGCCGGGGTATTACTTGCCACATCGGACTCGGGTTTTAGGAAGAAGGGAGTAATTCTGAGGGCGGAGTTTTTGGAGAGACCCTGGTCTCACGCGTCCACCACCTTGGATCATTGCTAGACCCACCCTCCCTTCACCTCCGGGCCCACGTTCCGGCTCCCGCCTCCGTCCCCGAGCCTGTGGAATGGGGCCGACGCTCGGTATCTAATGCACAGTGGACAAGGCCCTGCCTCTCATCGTGGCCGGGGAAGCCGACTTTGCTTCTCGGTCTTGCTGCCTGGCACTCCCAGGTCCCCCGGCTCGGCCACTTTCAGAGTTGTGGATAGCTTACCCCGCCTCCTAGAGTTGTCACCCTCCACTCGTCCACCTCGAACGGAGTACAGACTGGAGTCGGACTCCAAGCTCAGGAGTCTCTTGTGTGTGAGAGAGGAGGATTATTTTCTAGAGAGAAGGTCCTTTTCTCTCCCTCCTGACTTGGAAGATAAAAGGGAAGTTGTGACAGCAGTCAAGCTTAATATCGGTGACCTGTGTAAGGTTTAGAGTTTGGAAAAACATCTCCTGAGATGGCTTTGAGTTTAAAGGGTTCTAGTCCACAAGAGTATAGCTCAGCTTTTCTGGTCAAGATGGCCCTTCCTGGCAAAGGGGAGAGGCCCATTGTTCCACTGCAGCACCTGTGAGGTCTCCTACTTCCTGGACCCCTCCGGTATACAGCATAATTAGAATAATAAGGCTGTCCAGAGTGGATGTGAGTCTTGGCAGGACTCTTAAAAGGCCCACTAACACATCCTTTTTGTTGTTAGGTAAGGTTGTAGTAATTTTAATAGTGGCCTACAATCATATAAAGCTTTTAAGGAGAGCTGAAGCAGGAGAGTTGGAGAAGTGCATTGGGATTTAGACCAATCATAATCTCCTGCCTGAGGGATGTGGGACCAATGAACTTTTACATAAAATCTTACTTTGTTACAAATCCTTGAACTGTTTACCTGGAATTTGTGAAGATTTTTTTTTTTAATCTGTCTGAACTCAGTTCTAATCTATTGCCTTGGTAGAGATTTCAGGTATTCTTCACATTTGGTAATCTTAATGCTTCACTCTGTATGTGTGTGTCTGTGTGTGTCTGTGTCTGTGTGCCTGTCCTGGAGTTTGAACTCAGAGCCTGAGTACTGTCCCTGATCTTGTTTTGCTCAAGGTTAGCACCTTACCACTAGAGCCACAGCTCCACTTCTAGCATTTTGTGATTATCTGTAGATCAGAGTCTCCTGAACTTTCTTGCCTGGGCAAGCTTTGAACTGTGATCCTCAGATCTCTGCCTCCTGATTAGCTAGGATTACAGGCATTAGCCACCGGTATTGGTGGGCTATCTGTCCATTCTGAATGGGAAGACTAGGGTTGTAGTAGCATGTGGATTATTATAGTTTAGCTGAAGAATATAATTTCTTTAAGTTAGTTATTCTAACGTTTGTGTGAGTTCTGGATTAAGGTTTGAGTCAGCCTGAGCAGAAAAGGCTGAGATTCCATTTTGAATTAATTAGCAAAATGCCAAACTGGAGGTGTGGCTCAAGTGGTAGAACACCAACTGTGAGCAAAAGAGAATGAGAAATTCTGAGTTTATGCCCTGGTACTGGCACACACAATAAAAGGTTTTCTTTTGACAGGGAAGGATTTTAGTAGGTCATTTTCAACTTTTAGCTTGAATGATTGAAAATGACTACTACTCTAGAAAGTACTCAGCAGTTATTGAATTAATCGGTGAATGATGCTAGAGAGAATGAATAAAGAGTAGAACTATTGTTCCACTTACCTGTAACATCCTGGTAGTTTACCAGTCACAGGAGTCCTTGTGTGACTGAACACTAGAAATCATACCACCAGGGAATATAGACCACTGTTCTGTTCCAGTGGGTCTTTTTGAAGTTGAAATGTATACTCTCTTGGCAGTGATACAGCATCAGGTTCACAGCAACAAAATCCTTGCTTTGAGGAAAGCACCTAGGTACTGGCAGAGAAGAAAATTACTGAGATCCTGTGTCTTAAGAATGATTAAGCTGATCACTGCCTGATAAGGTCAATCCCTTTTTAATCTCTACTGCCTATTCTGTTTAGGTGCTTTTTCTTTACAAAGCTTGTTTTGACTAATTTTTCTTTTTCTCTTTCACTAATAGGTGAGAGCAAGTTGGGGATGCTCTCATAATGAGTGTCAACCAGTCAGCTCCACCTGTGCCACCATTTGAGCAGCCCCAGCCCATCTACCCAGGATATCATCAGTCCAGTTATGGTGGGCAACCAGGATCAACAGCCCTTCCTACTCACTATGGAGCCTATAATGGCCCAGTGCCAGGCTATCAGCAGACACCTCCTCAAGGTATGTTTCCAAGTTTCTTCTGTGCTAAAAAAGGAATCAGCAGTCCTCAGACCGTATCACTCTAGCAAAGGTGCTTAAGGACTAGAAGTGAGGAGCATTATTCTGGCTCTCTGAATCTAAGAATTATGTGAGCAGTCTGTCCACATTTTAATGTGGGTGGCTGTTTCTATCTTAAGACATCTAATGGTAGCATATCTTGGTTGACTGGCAGCTCACTTCCTGAAGGTGTCACCCTATACAGCCTCACCTGGCTGTATTGTTAAGAGCCAAATGGAAGGGTTGTGGTCACAGCTTCTCTAGTTCCTGTTGCCTAAGGTCTCCCCGAAGTCATTTATCTCATATATACGCACACAAATATATATATATATATATAAATATAAATTTATATATATATATATAAATTTATATATATATATATATATATATATATATATATGGAGGGGGTGAGAGAGAGAGAATGAATGCCTTATACTGATTCTTTTAATGACTCTGGGATGCATCTGCCTATAAATAATTCTGGGATGAAGTATATTTGTGTGCCTCATTTTTGGTACGTCTCATACTTTTTTATAATGTCACTTCTTTTCCTTTGATTGAGTTTCCTCCTTTTCTTATATACTCTGTAATACCAGGGGAATAAGAAATAACCCAGTGTTACATTAGATTGGTGTTTCATTAGGTTTTTATTGTGTGTGTGTGTGTGTGTGTGTGTATGTGCACTAGGCATAGGACCTAGGTCCTTGTGTGTAGTATACTAAGCATGCTATACCACTGAGCTATTCGTGATACCCTCAAGTGTTTGACTTCTGTTAATTTTTCAGAACAGCTATGTACTCTATAGATTGCCCAGAAGGCATTTTTGAAAATTGTTTTGATTTTTGGTTGTTACTGGGGTTTGAACTCAGGGCCTCAAGACTGCTTGGGTAGCTTGCTCAACTAGTGTTCTACCACTTGAGCCATACCGTCAGCCCAGGCATCCTAAACTTTTAAGCTGTTTAAGAGAGTAGATTTTGCAAAGGGTTCTAGGAAAAAAAAAAACATGCCAAGGAATCATAGATAAGACTGAAAAAGGAATGATTACCATTTTAATTATAACTATGAAAAATAAAATCAGTGACATAGTAAAATTAGTTTTCAGTTCTTTAGAAGAGCTTTAGTCTGTGTTGGGACTTTGGTTGGACAGAGTCCACCTCTGTTTTGTCAAGTTCTTTTTTTTTTTTTTGGGTCCAGTCGTGGGGCCTGAACTCTGGGCCTGGGCGCTGTCCCTCAGCTCTTCAGCTCAAGGCTAGTGCTCTACCACTTGAGCCACAGCGCCACTTCCGGCTTTTTTCTTATGTGGTGCTGAGGAATCGAACCCAGGGCCTCATGCATTACAAGCCAAGCGCTCTACCACTGAGCCACCTTCCCAGCCCTGTTTTGTCAAGTTCTGACTTATCAAAATGGAATTTGACATTGAAGAGAGAGCTTTGTTCTTGAGAAAAAGTTATCTAGTTCTGTCTTGGTTAGTGAGCAAGTTCAGATTGAGTTCCATTCAGGCAGATTCTGTGTGTGATCTCTACTGAGGGCACAGCAAAAGAAAAAAAATTGAACCAAGGGCTGGGAAGGTGGCTCAGTGGTAGAGTGCTTTCCTTTGCATGCATGAGGCTCTGGGTTTGATTCCTCAGCACTACGTAAGCAGAAAAAGCCGGAAGTGGCGCTATGGCTCAAGTGGTAGAGTGCTAGCCTTGAGCTGAAGAGCTGAGGGACAGCGCCCAGGCCCAGAGTTCAAGCCCCATGACCGACAAAAAAAAAAAAAAATGAACCAAGGTCAGCAACATTTTAAAAATGATTTGGCAAGTAGCTTTCTACCTGGATTTCATGTGGAAAGGAAGGCTAAGGGTAGTAGAAGTAGTTTCCTTGACTGCTCTGATGGATGGAGTGAATGGAGCTTTTATGAGAATATAGGTGGCAGCATCAATGAACTGTCCTGGCTGAAACACTTGTGGAGAACAAAGTCTGACGTATGAGAATCCTCCTGAACCATGCATGTGATTTCGGAAATTTCCATCCTTAGGAGTGGATGAATAGGATATGGTTAGGATATATAAAATGTATGAAGAAGAAAGTGGCAGAATAGTCTCCCTATGACATGCTTATCTTGGGGTTGTGGGTTTGTCTTAGTGGTAGAGCACTTGCCTAGTATGCATAGTATGCATAAAGATGTGAGTTCAATCTCCAGATCTTAAAAAAAAAAGAGAGAGCTTTTCTTTCTTGTAGCCTAGGTCAGTATATTACTTTGTTATCTTCTATACATCTTCCTCAAATATGCTCCCAATTTCTGAATTGTGGAGTAAGATTTTTTTTCCTTAAAAGACTTCAATTTTTCTTAAGGGTTAGAACACTAGATTGTACTGGATTGAGTGAGATTGTAGGAATACCCTGTATTGTTATGGCTCTGGCTACAGCCATATCCAAGTATACCTGTGTGAGAATTAAGGGTCTCTGTTGGACATCCATGTTTCGATACTGTTGTAACTACAGTTGCATGGTGTTAGAATTGAGTCAGTGAGAATCCAAACTTACTAATGTTTTGCTGTGCCTTCCTGGCTCAGGGTGTAGAAAGTTATTTCACAGTAATTTAGTTTCTGTCCTTTACCCTCAGGTGTGTCAAGAGCCCCACCTTCCTCAGGGGTACCTCCAGCCTCAACAGCATCAGCCCCTTGTGGCCAGGCTGCATATGGCCAATTTAGCCAAGGTGATGTACAGAATGGGCCAAATTCCACTGTTCACTTGCAAAGGTATGTACTTGGATTCACGTACTTAACATAAAATTTGTCTCATGGAAGAGGAAAGGTTAAGATTATCAGGGTCTTTATCCTTTTTTTCATCATTTTTTCTTTGGGATGTGTGTGCACACTTGAGCATGCACACACACAGGTGCAGACACATATAGCAGTATTGGGGCTTGAATTCAGAGCTTCCCATTCAAGCTTAAGTTTTTCACTCAAGACTGGTGTTCTACCATTGAGCTGCACCTCTAGTTTCAGCTGTTTGCTAGTTAACTAGAGATAAGAGTCTCTGGAATTTGTCTTTCCAGAATGGCTTTGAACTGTAGTCCTTAGATTTGAGCCTCCTGAGTAGCTAGGATTATAAGCATAAGCCACTGGCATTGGGGTCTTGTTATGTGAACTTGGAGGGTTTTTTTTTTTTTTTTGGGTCCGGTCGTGGGGCCTGAACTCTGGACCTGGGCGCTGTCCCTCAGCTCTTCAGCTCAAGGCTAGCACTCTACCACTTCTGGCTTTTTGCTTTTTGCATTTGTGGTGCTGAGGAATCGAACCCAGGGCCTAGAGCATACAAGGCAAGCACTCTACCACTGAGCCACCTTCCCAGCCCCTTGGAGTTTTCTTTACTAGACATAATCTTCAAAAATGGATGCATTGCTGCTGACCTAAGTGAGAATTGCAAAGAGGGATTTCAGGTATATTTATGTCTCTCCAACTTCTCCCTTTCAGATGAGGCACTTAATAGGACTGATTAAGTTTGGCTTGACCAGTCAAACAAGAGATGCTCAAAGAAGCACCTAAATGAAAGCTTCAGTGACTTGATAAACCCCTCTTTGCATTAAAGTACATTACAGCAGGGAACTCATCTTATCTTGGGTTTTGGTAAATAATTTAAAAAGTAGAACTGTGGTGCCAGGCACTAGTAGTTCATACCTGTAATCTGAGATCTGCTGATTGGAGGTTTGGGGGCAGACAAATCCAAGAGACTTTTTTTTTTTTTGCCAGTCCTTGTGCTTGAACTCAGGGCCTGGGCTTTGTCCCTGAGCCTCTGTGTTCAAGGCTAGCACTCTGCCACTTGAGCCACAGCACCACTTCTGGCCTTTTCTGTTTATGTGGCCCTGAGGAGTTGAATCCAGAGCTTCATGCATGCTAGGCAAGCACTCTACCACTAAGCCACATTTCCAGCCCCAAGTCCTTTTTTTTTTTTGTGCTGGCCCTGAGGCTTGAAGTCAAGGCCTGAGTGCTATCCCTGAGTTTTTTTGCTCACTTGCTCACTTTTTACCACTTGAGCTACAGCTCCACTTCTGGCTTTTTCTGTGATTAATTGGAGATAAGAGTCTCACAAACTTACCTGCCTGAGCTGGCTTTGAATCATTATTCTCAGAACTCAGCCTCCTGAGTAGCTAAGATCACAGGTGTGAGCCACTGGCACCCAGCTACCAAGACACTCTTTTATCTCTAGCTAAATAGCAAAATGCTAGAACTGGAAGTATGGCTCAAGTGGGAAGAGTGCTAGCATAGAGTTCCTATTGAGACCTTAAATAAGAATCGAATTATATACTATGTGATATTTATAGCTGACTTACTCTGTTTCCAAGGCTAATCTATGTTGTAGCATTTATCACTACTTCATTCCTTTTAATGGCTAGTTAATAATTCATTGTATGGATATATAATATTTTATTTATCCAGTCTTTCATTGGTGGTCATTTAGATTATATCTATCATAGTTGATTTTGGTTTTGTTTTCACTCTGGGTATCAAACCCAGAGTCTCATGTATGCTTTTGAAGTGCTCTATGACTGAACTGCACTTCTAGCATCCCTGGTTATTTATTTATTTATTTTAGATGGTTACATATTTGTGTACTGGAGCAGATATAGTTCAGTGGTAGCGCTTGCCTGGCATGCTCAAGACCCTAGATTTGATCCCCATCTTCTCCCCAATACCACAAAAAAAAAAAAGGAAAAGGAAGTAAAAAGTAGTTGAAGAGAATAGTATTTGAATGAATGGATAATTGAATTAATTAGTATTAAGGACAAATGGGAGCGGATAAAATGTAAAGTACTAGTTTGTTTGGTAGAGATAGAATATGGCTGGAAGAATTTCACTGTTAAGAGACTACTGTCATGATGAATTGATTAATTCCTGAAGTCCCCAAAGGAGCCTTTATGTATAATGTCCTGTGTTGTTGATATCTGCAGTAATGTCAGTGTAAAACACCCATATGCTATTGCTTTGAGTTTGTTCAAAGTGTTATTGAAATGATTTTTTTATATTTAATCATCCAATGTGGCTATCCAAGTAACAAAGTATTGCTAGGTAGACCCAATGCTAATTGGTTTGTCATTTCTCTAGGCCTTTTCTGAGATAGTGAACTTCTTCCTTTCAGTTAGTTCAAAGGCCGGATTTGGCTGATTTGTTTCTTTTTTTTTTTTTTTTTTTTTGGTCAGTTGTGGGACTTGAACTCTAGGCTTGGGCGCTGTCCTCAGTTCTTCAGCTCAAGGCTAGTGCTATACCACTTGAGCCATAGTGCCACTTCTGGTTTTCTGAGTGGTTTATTGGAGATAAAAGTCTCATGCCTTTCCTGCCCAGGCTGGCTTTGAACCCTGATCCTCAGATCTCAGTCTTCTAAATAGCTAGGATTACAGGCGTGAGCTACTGGTGCTTGGCTGGCTGATTTGTGTCTCTGATCTTATAGATTCTTCTAACATTTGCCCCAGGAGAAAGTAATAAATATTTTGGTTTATAAGTTGAACAATCAAATTACATTTGTTTGCTCTTACCTTTTTCTTTCTTTCTTTATTATTCTTTTATTTTATTTTATTTTTTTGTCAGTTGTGGGGCCTGAACTCCAGGCTTGGGCACTGTCCCTCAGTTCTTCAACTCAAGGCTAGTGTTCTACCTCTTGAGCCATAGCACCACTTCCGGCTTTTTTTTGCTTATGTGGTGCTGAGGAATTGAACCCAGGGCCTCATGCATGCAAGGCAAGCGCTCTACCACTGAGCCAATCTTCCAGCCCCTTTATTTATTTTTTAATTTTAAGTAAGATCTCACTATGTAGCCTAGGCTGGCCTCAAACTCTAAATCCTCTTGCCACACCTCCCAAGGACTGGGATTACACTTATGTACTACCACTCCCTGAAAATTCCTTAAGTGCTTGCTGTGTGCATGTGCTTCCCTCTTTCAACTTCAAAGTTTGGATTACAAAATTTAGGCCTTTTGTCAACCATAGAACTGAGGTAGACATGGCAATAATTTACCTATCAAATTAAATAGTATTTGACTGGAGAGTGCTTGGCATATATTTATGGAATGGACCTCATGGAAAATAAGGTTTTCCACAAGTCATATCTTTGTAGATACTCAAGAATATAATTGACTTACAAACATCCCACTTCCTGTATGATGTGTATTTCTTGCTAGCTTCAAAGAATATCCCAGTCCATTGTTACCTCTGTTTCCTGTTCTTTATAGGCTCCCTGGCTCTCAGCAATTTGGGTCGCCATTGGCCCCTGTGGTCAGCCAGCCAGCCCTGCTTCAGCCTTACGGCCCTCCCCCGACAAGTGGGCAGGTGACTGCCCAGCTGGCGGGAATGCAGATCAGTGGTGCTGTGGCCCCAGTCCCTCCCCCTTCAGGGCTGGGCTATGGTAAGTTACAGGGATCACAGGAACATTACTATCCCCTTCTTTTCAGAAGCATTAAGCTTGTGAATATGCCTAAATCCCTTTTATTACCTTTTTATTTTTCCTATGCCTCTTTGAATCCCAGGTGATAGGACAATTATGACTAACCATCTTGTAGGAAGTGAAATCATGTGCTGAACAAGGAGGCAGAATGACCAGGCTCCTGACTTGATTTTTCTCTTTCAGGCCTATCAACACCACTGGCCTCAGCCTCAGGAAGTTTCCCTAACTCTGGTCCATATGGCCCTTATCCTCAGGGCCAGGCTCTTCCCCTTAGCCAGGCCCAAGGACCTCCTGGAGTTCTCCCTCCCCAGCGATCTGCCCCACCACTGGCTTCCAACTTCACCTCCCCAGCTTCAGGGGGTCCTCGGATGCCTTCAATGACTGGTCCACTCCTGCCTGGGCAGGATTTTGGGGGTCCACCAATGAGCCAACCCAACCATGTGTCCTCAACTCCTTCTCAAGCTCTGACCCCAGGCACCCAGATTACTGGGCACCCAGGACCACTACCACCTATGCACTCCCCACAGCAGCCAGGTTATCAGCTGCAACAAAATGGTAAGTTGTTTCTTCCCTAGAATCTGACTATCACCAGTGGCTTCAACTAGTTAGTAAAGTGGTTTTTGTTTTTTGTTTGCTATGTGATGAATTAAATGGACACTTGGGGGTACTGAAATGTGGGGCTTATAAGTCATTCTCTCAGTTCAAATAGTATATCTTTCCTTTGAATGACTTCACTAGGCATTGGTGTATCTTATAATTCTGTGTTCATAGGACTCTAGTTATTTCCATGCGTCCTTAAGAAGAGACAAGAAGGGAACTTTGAGATTATCAACTTTGTGCCTGTTTCTCAGGTTCCTTTGGACCAGCCCGGAGCCCTCAGGCCAATTATGGAAGCCCCTACCCTGCAACACCCACATTTGGCAGCCAGCCAGGGCCTCCTCAGCCACTGCCTCCTAAGCGCCTGGACCCTGATGCCATCCCCAGTCCTGTAAGTAGATGCTTGTGGTCCAAGAGAAAGGCTTTGTGTCTTCCAGAGAAGCAGGTTGATCTAGGTGAGATGTTTATCTAGCATTTTCTGAGAATCATTCCCCCCTCCTTTTTTTTTTTTTTTTTTCATCTTTTTACCAGCCCAGAAACTATGTATAATTTTTGACTCTCTGAACTAGAATTTGAAGTTCCAGAAATCTTTTAGAGGCAGTTTGATTCCAGAGTTGCCCAGGGGATAAAGGGAAGCCAAGAATGCTCTTCAATATCAGTAAGAGTTCTGGGTTGAGTGCTGTGTGCTGTCATTATTGGACATATGTGGTATGGTCACTTTCGCTCTTCTGTGGAATAGTGGCTGGGTCTTTTTCCCTTTGAGCTAATAGGACAACATTCTTCCTATTAAGTATAGCAGGTGGTTACTCTTTGGTATTAGATGTGAAGCCAGATAGCTTCACTGGTTCCTCTCTGCTGCTTTTTGGATAATGTTGAAGGAGAACGTCCCCAGTATTTTCAGTCAGTAGATCCCTGCTGTGTAGATGGGAAGAGCAATCTGCAGTATATGAGATAAGTGTTTATGAAGTCCTACTGAGGAAGCTGCTTCTCACAAAAAGAGGTGATTTTCACTCTTAGAGTCATCAGAATCCCTAGGCCTTCCCTATCCAACTTTGGATGGAGGATTACTAAGTAGAGGCTATATCCTGTCTGTGACATTGCTGTCAGTTACCTCACCATGCTTAGTCATTATCATATTCCATTCTGTTCTCTTCCCTCTTCCTTTGGGATCCACCATAATGAAAGAGCCTGTTGACTAAGGGATACCCAATAGAATTGAGCAACCCTTCCTATTCTCTCCTCCACAGTGGGAAGGAGTCTGATTGGATGCAAGGAAGGCTACTTTGAGCACCAGAAGAGTCCTTAGATGGGAGGTTTGGCCTTTCAGAGGGGACATTCCTCTTCTTCCTTAAGGTTTCTCCCACTCAACCAGTCCCTGTAGAGTGCCTGCTTGTCTCCTGATTGCTTCTGTTTCTGATCTTGCTCTATCATAGTCTCAGCTATTGACCTCTGTGTTGGGCCCAAAGACTTGGAATTTCCGCTCTAGAGAGGGCCTGATTCCAGCTGTTAGAGCTGGGCTCCAGCTCTTGTCTAACTCAAGCAGGGTTGAGAGAAGTAACATCTACCTCTTGTTCTTTTGTCTCCTCCCTGTGTTTCCCTGCTGCCTTTATTATTAAAACACTAAAAGCAACTCAATGAGCTGCCTCCTCAGCAGAAAACCAGGCACAGAATAGACCCTGATGCCATTCCTAGTCCAGTAAGTGCAGGGGGTGGGTGTGTGTGCGCGTGTCATCCCTGTGTTACTGCCACCCATGCATGCCTATGACCTCATCTTCACCTCATCCACCATGTCCATCCCTCTCCATACGCTTCCCTTAACCCTTCTAGATCTTTGTGTTTACACGCTGAAGGATATGCATGCCTCAAATCACCATCTACTAAAGAGGTAGCAAGCTGTTGGCAGTACCTTAAGTATGGATGGTAGATGGTCAGGCTGTAAAGGGAGAGCTAGGTTTCATGTTAAGCTTTAGTTTTAGTCCTGCTGGCTCCTCCAGGAGCTTATATGTGACATAATGGAACAGGACAGACATGAGCCTTCTAGTTTGGGATGGTTTGTCTATAGCCTGTTGTATAGAAACATTTGTGTAGGTTGTTACTAATATACAGGTTCATAGTATCTCAAACTAGCATTTCTTACAGGGGAAGGAACTGCTGGTTTGGAAAAATGTGGGCCATTTTATCATCTGGAGAGTTTCTGACTCTGGAATATTTATAAAGTTCAACCTTTCTGCTGTGGGATACAGTGTCAATTGCCTTTTTTTTTTTCTGGTTTTACCAAACTCATCTTGAAGTAATTGACCTAAGGTCATCAGCCTTCACAAGGATCTGATTACCAGCTTTGCATATCCTTTCCCACCTGCCCTTTATTGTGTCTGTCAAAAAGTCAAGGAGGGGGAAGGGGATGGGAGCATTCTGAGGACCGGGTACTTACCCTCTTCTGTATATCCCCACTGATGCTTACCTGAAAGGAAGGCAGCATCTGCTTCCTCACCTTACCCAATCATCTCTGGCTGTTTAATTCTCTCCTCACATGTCCCTTGTTAATGTCATTGAGTATAGAGCCATTCTAGGTATATTCATTTTTACATGGTAATTGTTGTCTATTTTCCTGTTCTGATTTAATGTCTCTTGGGGAGAGGAGGGAGAAGGCTAGATGGGGGAGGGGAGTGGAAGCTAATCATGTTTGATGGTCAGTGATCAGAGTTTTCATAGATTGGGAGGAAGAAGAAAGTGCTCATCATCGACTTGGAGTGAGAGGGTTTCATCAAGAAGCCCTTTCTCAATGTGGCCTGTCCAGCATTGTGCAGCTGGCTGTAGAGTAGATTAATATGGTTGCATTAGATTTGGTCTCTAGAGGGAGAGCAGGCTTCGTGACTGAGGTGTTCTTTGGCAAATAGTTTCTGTGCTGCAGCTCTAGCCTATCTTTCTCCTGACCCTCTGGGACCTGACAATACTTCCCTTTTCTTCTGTGCCCTCACTCATTTCACTTCTTCCTCACAGATTCAGGTCATTGAAGATGACAGGAACAACCGGGGTTCAGAGCCATTTGTTACTGGTATACGGGGCCAGGTGCCACCCTTAGTTACCACCAACTTCCTGGTGAAAGACCAAGGTGAGGAGAACATTCCTTCCTTTAGGGGCTTCTTCTCTAAGGTTATAAACTGTGGATGAGGCTACTGTCAGTCTTTAACAGAGAGCAGTTCCCTTATCAATGATTTCAGGTGAACCACCAATAGAGAGCTGGTATTCAGAGAGATTCTGTGACCTGAATCATGTCTTCTGCCTCTTCCTTCAGGTAATGCAAGTCCTCGATACATCCGATGTACATCCTATAATATACCTTGTACATCTGACATGGCTAAGCAGGCTCAGGTGCCCCTGGCAGCTGTCATCAAGCCACTGGCAAGTCTGCCCCCAGAGGAGGTAAGTCAGACAAGGGGCTAGAATGTAATGAAAGGGAGGGATGGTGGGGAGTCCTTACTTCTTCCTAGGTGTGATTCTGTCTGGCATGTTAGAAGATCTTTTGATTACATAGGATGGAGTTGTAGCTTTCTTCCATGCCTGAAGGGAATGGCAGTGGTGAGCTCAAAAACCCAAGAAATTGCTATGTGGTGCTAGAGTTCATAGGAGAAACAAATTATATGAAAAGAGGCAGGATGTCCAAGCTTTTCCAGGTGGCTCAAACTGATAATCCTAGCTACTCAGGAGGCTGAGATCTGAGGATCGTAGGTCAAAACCAACCCGAGCATACAAATTTTTTACCAAGTAAAAAAGCTAGAAATAGGGCTGGGAAGGGGGCTCAGTGGTAGAGTGCTTGCCTTGCATGCATGAGGCCCTGGGTTCGATTCCTCAGCACCACATAAACAGGAAAAGCCGGAAGAGCTGCTGTGGCTCAAGCGGTAGAGCGCTAGCCTTGAGCTGAAGAGCTAAGGGACAGTGCCCAGGCCCAAAGTTCAGGTCCATGATTGGCAAAAAAAAAAAAAAAAAGCTAGAAATAGGGGCTGGGAAGGTGGCTCAGTGGTAGAGCGCTTGCCTTGCATGCCTGAGGCCCTGGGTTCGATTCCTCAGTACCACATGAGCAAAAAGAAAAAAAAGCCAGAAGTGGCGCTGTGGCTCAAGTGGTAGAGCGCTAGCCTTGAGCTGAAGAGCTGAGGGACAGTGCCCAGACCCAGAGTTCAGGCCCCATGGCCGGACCCAATAAAAATAAATAAATAAAATAAATAAAGCTAGAAATAGAGGTGTGGCTCAAGTGGTAGAGCACCAGCCTTGAGCAAAAAAAGCCAAGGGAAGTGGCTCAGTTAGGAGAACACTAGCCAATGAGTGAAAGCATCAGTTACCATGTTCGAGTCCCAGTCTTGAACCTTAAAAAAAAAAAGCCAAGGGGGGCTGGGAAGGTGGCTCAGTGGTAGAGCGCTTGCCTTGCATGCCAGAGGCCCTGGGTTCGATTCCTCAGCACCACATAAACAAAAAGAAAAAAAAAAAAAGCCAGAAGTGGCGCTGTGGCTCAAGTGGTAGAGCGCTAGCCTTGAGCTGAAGAGCTGAGGGACAGCGCCCAGGCCCAGAGTTCAGGCCCATGACTGGACCCAAAAAAAAAAAAAAGCCAAGCCGGGTGCCAATGGCTCATGCCTATAATCCTAGCTACTCAGGAGGCTGGATCTGAGGATTGAGGTTCAAAGCCAGCCTGGGCAGGTAAAGCCATGAAATTTATCTCCAATAAACCACCAGAAAACCGGAAGTGGCGCTGTGGCTCAAGTGGTAAAGTGCTAGCCCTGTGCAAAAGAAGCTCAGGGACAGTGCCCAGGCCCTGAGTTCAAGCCTTAAGACGGGCAAAACACACACACACACAAAAACACAAAAAACCCTCTCACTGCATGGTCATTTCTTTTCCTTATATACACAGCATATAAGAAAAAAGGTAGCTGCTGGGAAGGTGGCTTAATGGTAGAGTACTTGCCTTGCAGTCATGAGGCCCTGGGTTCTATTCCTCAGTACCACATTAAGCAGAAAAAGCTGGAAGTGGGCACTCAAGTGGTTAGAGTGCTAGCCTTGAACTGAAGAGCTCAGGGACAGTGCCAAGGCCCAGAGTTCAGGCCCCATGACCAACAAAAAAAGAAAAAAGGTACAATAGGATCTAGTATTTTGTCCTTCACCTGGTTTAGGTACCTGAAATAAGCATGAAAAAAAGAGCTCTTGAAAGCTGCTTATCTCAAACAAAACAAAAAGACTATCTTGGGTGAGAGGTGTGGAGCTGAGGTGCTTCCTTTGGTTAATGATGAGATATCTGGATTGAACGTGCAAGTGAAGTCCACCGTCGTCCTGAAGTCATAGGTAGTGAGGGAATGTGGTGGGTTTCTGCAACAATGTCACCTTCTACAGGGAGGGTGGGGCAGAAGAGTCAGCAATCCGAATTGGCTTTGTCATCTACAATAAGGTACTTCTGCAGTGTACATGTCCTTCTTTTTCTGGGTTCCAGTGAGGATAGTTAAACTTTAGTCTCTTATTTGTAGAATGACATCTGTCTAGGATATAGTAGACAACAGAAATCTGTGGGTAATAGGGGAGAAGTCATATTTAAGGAAGAAAGCAAGAGTCAAGATCCCTAGGGTGGAGTGGAGGGAATTTGAATACAGAGTCAGAAGCAGGAATCCTAGATAATCCTTGGTTTTCTCCAATATGTCCATGGCAGTCCCTGGCCAGTTTCACAGTCTCTTCTCTTCCAGGGAGAAATGTGTCCTAGAATGGGGCATAAGAAAGAACTGTGGAATTTATACTCTTAGGGACATTTTCACTGTATTCCTTCCCTAGGCAAAATATCTGAGCCAATCCTCATCTCCCTCAGTGTTCTTCCTTTTCTGTGGCCACATATCTGAGCCACCATAAATTCCCTCTGTGTCTGAGCCCCTTCCCTTTGCTCCATAGGCTTCACCGTATGTCGTGGACCATGGGGAATCTGGCCCTCTGCGCTGCAATCGCTGCAAAGCATACATGTGCCCCTTCATGCAGTTCATTGAGGGAGGGAGGCGCTTCCAGTGCTGCTTTTGCAGCTGTATCAATGATGGTATGGTCACATAGGCTGGGATTCAGGGGGGAGGTCTTGATTGCATCTTCACTGTTCTTTTTCTAATTAGGTAAATGGGGTCCAATTTTCAGGAGTTGGGGAAGTAGGGTACATATGGGGACATAGGGCAATAGAGTGATGGAGCACAGCTCAGCTAGGACCAGATTTGCAAGTGAGAATGAACCTTTGAGTAACATACTGCATACTCCCCACAGTTCCCCCCCAGTATTTTCAGCATCTGGATCATACTGGCAAGCGTGTGGATACTTACGACCGTCCTGAGCTATCTATGGGCTCTTATGAATTCCTGGCCACTGTAGATTACTGCAAGGTGAGAGAAAGTAACAGGCACAGTGGGTGGAGGGTGATGAGGCAGCTAAAAATTGCTGGTATCATCACTCCATGCCTCCCCCTTCTTTGTCCCCTTCAATACTAACTGCCTCTAGCCAGTTGTTCTGCTTATCATTTTCCTTTGCCTCCAATGTCTCCTTCTTTTGCAGAACAATAAGATTCCCAGCCCTCCTGCCTTCATCTTCATGATTGATGTCTCTTACAACGCCATTAGGACTGGTCTTGTTAAGCTCCTCTGTGAGGAGCTCAAGTCACTGTTAGACTACCTACCTAGGTGAGAGTTATAGAGCTGAGGGGCTTCATCTGGTTAATGGTGGGGTGTCTGGCTTGACTGAACAGTTGAAGCCTACTGGTGTCACAAAGCTGTGGGTGGTGGAGAAGGTGGACAGTTTCTTGTAACAGTGTCACCTTCCACAGGGAGGGCGGGGCAGAAGAGTCAGCAATCCGAATTGGCTTTGTCACCTACAATAAGGTGCTCCACTTCTACAATGTGAAGAGCTCATTGGCCCAACCACAGATGATGGTTGTATCTGATGTGGCTGACATGTTTGTGCCACTGCTGGATGGCTTCTTGGTCAACATCAATGAGTCTCGGGCAGTTATCACCAGGTAAGGGTGAGATGGTGGGGATAAAGAGACAGTGGGGAGAGTACAATGGTAAAAAGCCAGGGAGTTGTATAGAGAAGTTCATAGATGGACAGGAGCTGTGGCTTAGGAGTTTTCAGAATCTAGGAGCCAGATAACTCTTCAGGGAATTGAGGACTGAGGCAGCTGAAATCTTGTTGGTAATTTTGGTTGTCTTCTATTATTTCCCTCTTCAGCTTACTGGATCAAATTCCAGAAATGTTTTCAGACACAAGAGAGACAGAGACAGTATTTGCCCCAGTTATCCAGGCTGGGATGGAGGCTCTGAAGGTAAGGTTGGAGTCCCTGGTAACCTAACCTCTGCCTTGCTTTTTTTCTCACCATTGTACCCTCTTGAAAATAGCCTCCATTTCTTCAGTGATTGATAAGTGTCCAGTAAATTAGTCTGTCTGACATAGTTGGTGCTTAATAATTGACAAGAGAAGTGAATGAATAATGGGCAAATAAAGGAAAGAATGAATAAGTAGTCCTGTCTTTTTTCCTAGGCTGCTGAGTGTTCAGGGAAGCTGTTTATTTTCCACACATCCTTGCCTATTGCAGAGGCCCCAGGGAAGCTGAAGAACAGAGACGACAGAAAGCTGATCAACACAGACAAGGAGAAGGTGTGGGACTGGAAGGTTGGGGGAAGATTTCCCATTGCTTTGTAATAGAAATGTGCTGACTTCCCAACACCCTTAGCTTTTCAAAAGGGACCCAATGACATTCTGCGGCTGCCAACCTGCTCCCACACCTCTCTTAGCTCATCTCAGTCTTTGGACTTTGCTGTGTTTTTGTTTTTGTTTTGTTGTTGTTGTTTAAGAATTTTCTAGGAGCCGGGCGCTGGTGGCTCATGCCTGTAATCCTAGCTACTCAGGAGGCTGAGGTCTGAGGATTGCGGTTCAAAGCCAGCCCGGGCAGGAGAGACCGTGAGACTCTTATCTCCAATAAACCACCAGAATACCGGAAGTGGTGCTGTAGCTCAAGTGGTAGAGCGCTTGCCTTGAGCTGAAGAGCTGAGGGACAGCGCTCAGGCCCAGAATTCAAGCCCCATGACTGACCAAAAAAAAAAAAGAATTTTCTAGGGCTGGGAAGGTGGCTCAATGGTAGAGCGCTTGCCCTGCATGCCTGAGGCCCTGGGTTCAACTCCTCAGCACCACATAAGCAAAAAGAAAAAAGCCGGAAGTGGCGCTGTGGGCTCAAGTGGTAGAGCGCTAGCCTTGAGCTGAAGAGCTGAGGGACAACACCCAGGTCCATAGTTCAGGCCCCACAACCAGACCCCAGCTACTCAGGAGGCTGAGATGTGAGAATCATAGTTCGAAGCCAGTCTGGGCAGGAAAGTCTGTGAGACTCTTATCTCCAACTAACCACCAGAAAGCTGGAAGTGGAACTGTGGTTTAGGGTGGTATATCATCACTAGCCTTGAGTGAAAGAGCTCAAGGAAGTGCCCAAGCCCTGAGTTCAAGCCCCATGATCAACAAAACAGTTGTTTATTACTATTCAAACTCCCAATCAGTAGATCTGAAGTCTTCTAAGTATTTTAGTATCCCATATGACATAAGCAGTTCTCAAATAGGGCAGTGTCAAGATATTTGACATTTCTTCTGCTCCTCTCCAGACTCTCTTCCAGCCCCAGACAGGTGCCTATCAGTCTCTGGCCAAAGAGTGCGTAGCCCAAGGCTGCTGTGTAGACCTCTTCCTCTTCCCTAACCAATATGTGGATGTGGCTACACTCTCTGTTGTGCCCCAGCTCACTGGTGGCTCTGTCTACAAATATGCTTGCTTTCAGGTAAGGTATAGAATTCTGGGCAGCTGATGGCAGCAGGAATGGGAATGCATTTATACATGGAGTGGCTTTTAGTTAATCACTCGTAAATAAGAACTGTGTGGTGAAGTGTAAAATAAGTGAGCCCTAGCCGGGCGCTGGTGGCTCACGCCTGTAATCCTAGCTACTCAGGAGGCTGAGATCTGAGGATCGCGGTTCAAAGCCAGCCCGGGCAGGAGAGACCGTGAGACTCCTATCTCCAATAAACCACCAGAAGACCGGAAGTGGCGCTGTAGCTCAAGTGGTAGAGCGCTCGCCTTGAGCTGAAGAGCTGAGGGACAGCACCCAGGCCCAGAGTTCAAGTCCCACGACCGACAAAAAAAAAAAAATAAGTGAGCCCTGAAGGTGTGGAGGTAAGGAGCATGGGCCTTTTAAGTCCATCTGCTCCCTGCACTTACTGGTCTAGGATAAATGACTTGATTTCTCCCTCCTTTATTCTTTCATCTACAAAATGGAAGTTTAATGCTTATTAATTAGACCTTGTCTATAAGTGCTTAAAAGTTATCCCAGTCATCATCAACATGATTATCATCTTCACTCTTACTACTATGACTATATAGGCTTGTGAAGTAGGAGGAGTACAGGGGACTGGCTAAGGCATAAGCTATGTGCTCAATAATGTTACTGTGGGCCTTGGGGGGTACAGGTGGAAAACGACCAAGAACGATTTCTGAGTGACTTACGTCGTGATGTACAGAAGGTTGTTGGCTTTGATGCTGTTATGCGAGTCCGGACGAGCACTGGTCAGTCCTGGTTGGAGGAGCAGGTTGGGGGTTGGGAGGCAAGTGGCATCTGTCATAAATTTAGCCCGCACCCTGTCTCTTGTGGCCTCAGGTATCCGTGCTGTAGATTTCTTTGGAGCTTTCTACATGAGTAATACAACAGATGTGGAGCTAGCAGGGCTGGATGGTGACAAGACAGTGACAGTGGAGTTCAAGCATGATGATCGGCTCAATGAAGAGAGTGGAGCGCTCCTGCAGGTGGCACAGACTGGGGAGGAAGTGCTGGTTGATATTCTCTGGGAAGAGGATGAGGAACAGGTGGACTTGAGAAGGATGAGGTATGAATCCCTGCTTTCTCCCTTCTCCTAGTGTGCCCTGCTTTATACTAGCTGTGCAGGACAGCGTCGACTCCGCATCCACAACTTAGCCCTGAACTGCTGCACCCAGCTGGCTGATTTGTATCGAAACTGTGAGACTGACACACTCATCAACTACATGGCCAAGTTTGGTAAGGAAAGAGGTAAGGTAGGGTGGGATTGGGGCTGAGAGAAAGGTCCAAAATGGTGAGTGAATCAGCACTCCTGGGTAGGTGTGATCATGGGGATGGCACATGTACCAGGTGGTAGACCAGTGACTGCTATGTCCCCACCATTCAGCATACCGTGGTGTTCTGAATAGCCCTGTGAAGACTGTGCGTGACACTCTCATTACCCAGTGTGCTCAGATCCTGGCCTGTTACAGAAAGAACTGTGCCAGCCCCTCCTCTGCAGGACAGGTAGGAAAAGCATGTTACTGCACAGATTGTTGGGACAGTTTTGCATTTGGAAGAGACTTATTCATTAAATTTTATTTTAATAAATCACTCAGCTGATCCTTCCTGAGTGCATGAAGCTACTCCCAGTTTACCTGAACTGTGTGTTGAAGAGTGATATCCTGCAGCCTGGAGCTGAGGTTACTACTGATGACCGGGCCTATGTCCGCCAGCTGGTTACTTCCATGGATGTCGCTGAGACCAATGTCTTCTTCTACCCTCGGCTCCTACCACTGGTGCGATTAAGGGTTGGAGTGGAGACTGAACTGAGAAAAGGGCCTCTGAGAAGGATGAAGAAGGGTTAACATCTGTATCTGACACTAAAGTGTTTTGTTTTTATTTTTTGTTGGTTGTGGGACTTGAACTCTGGGCCTGGGCACTGTCCCTCAGTTCTGCAGCTCAAAGCGAGCACTCTGCACTTGAGCCACAGTGCCACTTCTAGTTTTCTGGTGGTTAATTGGAGATAAGAGTCTCACAGACTTTGCTGCTGGGCTGGCTTTGAATTGTGATCCTCTTCTCTCAACCTCCTGAGTAGCTAGGATTACAGGCATGAGCCACCAGCGCCTGCCCTGTTTTGTTTATAAATATAATTTTATTGTTATTATTAAGGTGGTGTTACCATTTCATGTCAAGTAAACAGTACATTTCTTTTTTGGACAATGTCACCTCTTCCTTTGAATTCCCCTAGTTTCCATCTCTTGTCCCTAAGTCACATAGTTCATTTTCCACATAGTACAAACCAATACCATGATTGCATTTGTTTACTTTTCCTCCCTCCCCTTCTTTCTTGCTCTCTCTCCCTTTGTTGTTGTTGGGTGTGTGGCTTGAACTCAGTCCCTGAGCTCTTTTACTCAAATCTAGCAATCTGCCACTTTGAGCCACTGCTCCCACTTCCAGTTTTGTGGTGGTTAATTGGAAATAGGAGTCTCATGAACTTCCCTGCGTGGGCTGGCTTTGACTGCAATCCCAGATTTCAGCCTCCTGAGTAGCTAGGATTATAGGCGTGAGCCACTAGGGCCTGGCTTCTCCCTCCCTTTCTGTATCACCCTCAACTCCCCCTAAAAAGAAACAATAACAAAAAAAAACCCCAAAAGCAAAAAAAACCCACCACCAACAAGAACATAAAAGAATTTGTTTTATATACATTTTACACTGACACTGAGACCCCAGAAAGGGTAGTGTCTAGGGACTTGGCTTTCTGATTGGGGCTTGGCAGTTGTATCTTCTGGTCCTTGTTGACATTTGCCCCCTTGTTTTGGTCTAGACAAAGTCTCCTATTGAGAATACCACTGAACCCCCAGCAGTTCGAGCATCTGAAGAACGTTTAAGCAATGGTGACATATATTTGCTGGAGAATGGACTCAACCTCTTCCTCTGGGTGGGAGCAAGTGTTCAACAGGGTGTTGTCCAGAGCCTTTTCAACGTCTCCTCCTTCAGTCAGATCACCAGTGGCTTGGTAAGGGAAGGGAGTCAAGGAGAATATGGGTGTGAAAGTATGCTTTGTGATGGGAGTGGGAGCCAAAAAATTAGTGTACTGATCCCTTCATATATTAGGGGACAATTGGGAAGTGTGGGGAAGGGGTGCTGTCATTCTTTTCAAGCTTGTTTCAGATGATGCATGAATCTGTTCTGCCTCTATTGAACTCAGAGTAGTTTATTATAAGGATGAATGAATTTTATGTTTCAGAGTGTTCTGCCAATTCTGGATAATCCACTGTCAAATAAGGTTCGAGGCCTCATTGATAGCTTAAGAGCACAGAGATCGCGGTACATGAAGGTAACACTGATCTGAACCCTAGTCGTCTTGCCTTGTCAAGTCCTCCCCTGGAAGGGGGTGGGGAGTGAACTGAATGACTGGGTCATGGGGTTTCTGCTTCATTTCCTTTGGTCCTGCCTTATAACTACATTCTGGCCATAGTTGATCGTGGTGAAACAAGAAGACAAGCTGGAGATGCTGTTCAAACACTTCCTGGTGGAAGACAAGAGCCTGAGTGGGGGAGCATCTTATGTGGACTTTCTCTGTCATATGCACAAGGAAATTCGGCAGCTACTGAGCTAAAGCAAGTGGGTAAATAATGTAGGGTCCCAGGCCAGCTTCCAGAAAGTACCCCGGGATGGCAGAGGATTGGGATAGTTACATATCTGATAAGTCATGTATGCTGACCTCAGTCTCTGTGGAGGGAGGGGGGGATATAAGGACACACCTTTCTGGGCTCAAGTATGCTACCATTCTGTCATGTCCTGCTGATGGAAGGTGTCCCTGACTTCTCACTCTGCCCTCCTTTTCCTGCTAATCCTGTTGTAATGAATGTAGTTTCTCAGTTCACTGTATATGATTCAGTGTTGGGGGTTTGGAGGCACCCTAATACTGGCAATATTGTGTCCCTTTGGACCAGCCTCCAAGAGGAGGGGGCACAGGAAAGAGTGGGGGGGTTCCAGGGGTTACTACAGGAGGTGGTGAATTTAGCTCAACAACTTCCTATATTAGGGATAAAACATACAGGTGCACAAGAGCTGGGAACAGACTCTGATGTAGAGAAATAATGTTGGTCCTCTGGGGGCCTGGAGGTCAGCAGCCAAGTAGTTACTGAGGGTGGCTGATAAGTTTTCTCTTGCTGCTTCCGCTGTGTGCACTCTCTTCCTTGCAATGATTGGAGATCACTCTGTGAAGAGAAGTACCTTGTCAGAGAAGAATGAGCCTGGGAACTGAATTGCAAAGTATACTAATACCCCCGAGAGATGCCAGCCCCATCTTGAGCTGGAGAAGCCCCAACACTGTATGGTTCTGTAGGGAGCCTGATCATCAACTTGCAATACCTCACAGAGCCAGTTCACATCCCACTCAGCTCCCACTGAAAACATTGCTTCATCAAGTCGGGGGTTGGAGAGACAGATCGCTGGAGCCCTGTCCTCTTGTGCTGGGACACCACGTGGGCTTTGGTATTGATTGAGGGGCTGACAGTTTTCTTCCATCCCCAATGGGCTGGGGCAGGACAAGGGCTAGGACTGTTGGCCAGGCTTGCCTGCTCCCAGCCTAGGATGCTCCTGCTCTAGACCTCTCATTTCTCCTCATTGGTTTATTTTTCAATGCATCTTTAATTTGTAAAGAAATAAAATAAGATGTAACCAGTAGCCTTATCTTTACTGCGACGTCTTCTTGGTTCACCTTGGCTCAACTTTTCTGGCTGCCACTCCGAGAATGTGGCGCATGCGTACCGTTCCCACGTGGTAGGCCGCCGCTGGGCGGGGTCTCTTGCTGTCCGAATAGCCCCGGTTGCAGCAATGGACATGGCGGCTGGTTGTGCCAGGGCCCTGGTGGCCGCCCTGGGGTTGCTTAGTGTCTGTGCAGCTAGTGGCTCTGGGTCCATGGTGCAGGAGGAGGCCGGTGAGGAGTCGGAGTGGGCGGAGCCATGGGATGGCGCGGTTTTCCGGCCGCCCTCAGCGCTGGGCGCAGTGGGGGTGGCGCAGAGCCCTGGGACCCCGAGGCCAGGGAGGGAGGAGATGGTGGACCTGCCCGTGCTTCTGTGGTGGAGCCCCGGGCTGTTTCCCCACTTTCCGGGCGATTCGGAGCGGATCGAGTGCGCACGCGGGGCGTGCGTAGCGTCCCGGGACCGTCGTGTGCGGGGGCACCCGCAGGCCCGCGCGCTGCTTTTCTACGGCACCGACTTCCGTGCGTCCGAGGCGCCGCTGCCACGCCTGGCCCACCAGAGTTGGGCACTCTTGCACGAGGAGTCGCCCCTCAACAACTTCTTGCTGAGCCACGGCCCAGGCATCCGTCTTTTCAATCTTACCGCCACCTTCAGCCGCCACTCGGACTACCCGCTGCCGCTGCAGTGGCTGCCCGGGGCCGCCTACCTGCGCCGCCCGCCGCCGCCGCCCCGGGAGCGCGCCGAGTGGCGCCGCCGCGGCTACGCGCCTCTGCTCTACTTGCAGTCCCACTGCGACGTGCCCGCCGACCGGGACCGCTACGTGCGCGAGCTCATGCGCTACATCCCGGTGGGTGCGGGCGGGCCGGCGGGCGGGGGGCGGGCCGGGCGGAGCCCCAACCCCAGGGTGGCCAAGCTGACAGTGCTGCTCTGCCCGCGCAGGTGGACTCGTACGGGAAGTGCCTGCAGAATCGGGAGCTGCCCACTGCACGCTTACAGGACACAGCCACAGCCACCACCGACGATCCGGAGCTCTTGGCCTTCTTGTCCCGCTATAAGTTCCACCTGGCCATGGAAAATGCCATCTGCAACGACTACATGACAGAGAAACTGTGGCGCCCCATGCACCTGGGTGCTGTGCCCGTGTACCGTGGCTCTCCCTCCGTGAGGGACTGGATGCCCAACAATCACTCCATCATACTGATTGACGACTTCGAGTCTCCTCAGAAGCTGGCAGAATTCATTGACTTTCTGGATAAAAACGATGAGGAGTATATGAAATTCCTGGAGTACAAGCAACCTGGGGGCATCACCAACCAGTTCCTTCTGAATAGCTTGAAACGCCGTGAGTGGGGCGTGAATGATCCTCTGCTGCCCAACTACCTCAATGGCTTTGAGTGCTTTGTCTGTGACCATGAACTGGCCCGGCTGGACGCTGAGAAAGCCCACATGGCCTCTCCCAGGGACGTCCCTGTCCCCGAGCCTCACATCGCCCAGCCCTCACACATGAACTGTCCAGTGCCCACACCTGGCTTTGGCAGTGTGGAAGACATTCCTGAGAATGACAGGTAGGGATATTGGAGTTCTCTGTAGCCTGAAAATCTAGTTGTTTGTCTTTATTGTGCCAGTCCTAGCCTGGGCGCTGTCCCTGAGCTTTTGGGCTCAAGGCTAACACTACCACTTGAGCCAAAGCTCTACTTCCTTCTCTGTGATGGATAAAGGGGGTGTGGGGGGAAGGATAAGAGTCTCACGGACTTTCCTGCTCAGGACGGCTGCTAACTGCAGTCTTTAGATCTCAGCCTCCTGCATAGCTAGGATTACAGGCGGGATTCATTGGCACCTGGCTGTTAATTGTGGGCTCTAGGTACAAAGGGGATTATGAGATGGGCTCACACTCCCGCGAAGGTGGCCAGAGTAGCTGGAGAACCAAACTCTGGTGTAATCCTAGTGCTCCAGAGGCTGAGGCAAGAGGATCAGGGTTTGAGGTCAGGCAGAGCTACTTAGTGAGACTTTGCTATGGGCCTTAATATTATTATTAATAGTAGTAATTAGTGGTAGGAAATAAAGAAAAATAAAAGTCTGGGTAAAAATGTAAGATATAATTAAATGCTACACAGGAAAATGAGCACATTTGGTCAATGTTTGCCACAGTGCTTCAAACCAATCTTGAACCAGAGTAGAGGGTTCATGCCAGGAAGGTGATTAAGGAAACTTGGGCCCAGGAGTTTGGAAGGATCAACTTAGCTATTTAGTATTTGAGCACCTTCAGTATGGTGTGGATAATAGAGATGAGCTGTTTCGTTTTTCAGTCATGTTGTACTTAAACTCAGGGCCTAATCCGTCCTAGGCAAGAGCTCTACTACTGAGCTATATTTCTAGATTTTGTAGTTGTCAGGATTTATATCTGTTACTTAGGCATAATTACTAACAATTACTTTTTCTTTTTCTTTTTGCTCTGGTATTGGAACTTGAACTCAGAGAGGTTTGCACTTTTTTTTTTTTTGTCAGTCCTGGGGCTTGAACTTAGGGCCTGAGTGCTGTCCTTGAGCTCTTTTTGCTCAAGGCTAGTATTCTACCACTTTGAGGCACAGTGCCACTTCCTGCCTTTTCTGAGTAGTTTATTGGAGAGGAGAGTCTTACAGATGTTCCTACCTGGGTTGGCTTTGAGCCATGATCCTCCAATTTAACCCTCCTGAGTAGCTAGGATTACAGGCACCTGTAGGATTGCCAGCACCTGGCTGAGTTTTGCACTGGAGGGAGGTGGAGGGGAGGAGGTTCCTGGGGCTTGAATGTTGTATCCCAGAGCTTTTTTGTTCAAGGCTGGTGCTCTACCACTTGAGCCACAGCTCCATTTCCAATTTTTTTAGTGGTTAATTCGAGATAACAGTCTCACAGACTTTTCTGCTTGGGCTGGCTTCAAGTCTCGATCCTCAGATCTTAGCCTCCAGAGTAGCTACCTTAAGTACCTAAGTACGAGCCACTGGCAAATCTTGCATTCTTGCTTAGCTTTTTTTTTTTTCCCTCCTCAAGGCTGGCACTTTCACTTCAGTCACTCTTTCACTTCTAGCTTTTTGCTGGTTAACTGGACCTTAGAGTCTGATTTGTCTGCCTAGGCTAGCCTTGAACCTTGAAACCTTGATCCTTGGACCTTAGCTTCCCAAGAAGCTAGGATAACAAGCATGAACCTCTGGCACCTGGCTTTTCTCTTTCCCTTCCCTTCTTTTTTGGTGCTGAGATTGAAATTAAGGCCTTGGAGCTGAGCTAAACTCCCAATCCTCCTTTGGCTCTTAAAGTACCATGGTTGGGATGACGAATTTTATGCTCACGCTAGAAAGCATTGAAGGTATGCTTTCCAAAAGGTTAATGGTGGCAGGTAGTGGCTAGTGTAACAGAATGGTGGCTTTGAGAAACAAAGTCTGTCTGCATTTGAGATGATGTAGGGTAATTTTGAAGTCACTTGGAGAAAGATATACTTGTTGGGGAAAAGTGTCAAGATTACACTGGAAGCCAGTGCTGGTTGCTCACACTACTCAGGTGGCTGATATCTGAAGATCTTGGTGATTCCCAGTCACCTTTGGTAGACAAATCTGTGAGGCTTTTACCTCCAGTAGCCAGCAAAAAGCACTAGAGGCATGGTTTAAGTGGTGGAGCACCCTTGTGAACAAAAAAGCCAAGCAAGAACATGAGGCCCTGAGTTCAAGCCCTAGTACTGGCATTGAATAAATAAGTAAATAAATAAAATAAAAAGTTTTCAACTGGGGAGAGGCTGGTCACAGTGGTCTGCAGAGCCTAACTTGGACAATTGGTGGCAGCAGAGGGTTGTTTATATAGGCTAATGACACAATTTGGTCTGAAGATGGAGTCCTCCAAGAATTTGTATCTCATTTATGTTGATCATATGATTTACTAAATGAAAAGAATAAAACAATGTACAACATTAAGGAAATAACCAAGTTATGCCTTTTCTGGATACTAGATGTCATTGTACTTTCTACTAAGGACCCTCTAAATACCCCTTTGCTTTCCTGGGAGGAGTGCTGCTTCCTTAGTCTGGCCCCTTCTGCACTGAGCGCTGATATTCCACATCTGGAAGCCAGGAGAAGCTTTACCTCATTGTAGGGACTATATGATAACTGTCTGTAGCTTACACTTGGCTTAGTACTAGATTTATTTCACACTTCATTCTTTGTAAAGCAGAGCCTTATCCTAGCTCTAAATATCCAAATCCCAAAGATTACTTTTTTTTAATGTTTTTTTTTTCTTTTTTTTGTCAGTCATAGGGCTGGGTGCTATCCCTCAGCTCTTCAACTCAAGGCTACCACTTGAGCCACAGAGCCACTTCTTTTTCTG